CCCTTTTTTCACCCGACTCTGCATGAAGTCGGAATCGCTAATAAATTTAGCATAGAAACACTATTATAAAACTAGAAAATAATAAGAAAACACGAGTTTTAAATATATAAATAACATAATGATGATTTATCCATTGTTTATAAATTAAATCGGGTTGGATACAGTCCGACCGAATGAGCTGGGAATTGGTTTATTATAACCAATCTGTTCGCTTGAATAAAATATTTGCTATCGAATTCGCCAACAAAACTAGGGATGACAGCGGTTCGGTTTCGGTTCGGATATCCGCGGTTTTTGGTTCTGCGGTTTTCGGTTTTGGTTCTCAAATTTCACCCACGGTTTTGCGGTTTTGGGTACCCGAAAGTCTTCGGTTTTGGTGCGGATCCTATATTTCGCCCGTGGTGCTCCGTTGGGTGCCCAAAATAGACGGCCCATCAAAAAGCCCACAAAAAACCCTAGCTATATAAGTGGAAATTTCCTCTCCCTCTTATCCTCTCCCCGTCTCCCGTGATGGCTTGGCTTAGCTATGTACTCTACTACCTTTATGGCTTGTACTGTACGTTGGTACTTGCTAATTTGTGACTGGTTGCCTGGTACTCTCTAAGTTATCATGTTTTATGTTGTTGTCTTTGGTGTTTTATTATAATATTTTTGGTTTTTTGGGTATCCGTTTGGTTTCTGGGTATCCGCGTGTTTTGGTTTTGGTGAAGGATTTTCACCCGAAACAGTTTTTAAGTTTGGGTTTTGGTTTTGGGTGCCCTGAGGTTCCATCCGATCCGAACCCGAACCGCTGCCATCCTTAAACAAAACTGACTGGTAGAATCGATATGTTTCTAAATAATTTTGTTTACATTTAAAATTATATTAATAAATTTACATAATAAATAAAATAGAGATTTATAAATTATTTATCAATTAGTTTAAATATTTGAATTTATGAATTGTTTAGGTATTTAAGTAACACATCTTATTTAAATTTATTACAAAAAGTGATGTACAAATTAAATCTGAACAAACCACAAATGAAAATAAAATAACTTAATCGTTTTGATGACGGTCTGGTTTTGAAAATCTTATATTTACTAAATATTAATAAATATTATAATAAAATATTATTTAATTCACATAAACTAATAAAATGATATATAAATATTCATAAATCATTAAACATATTTTCATAAAAGTTTTGTTAAAATGATTATTTGAAATTTGGACAACATTACATTCAAGTAATAACATTTTTTTAACTAATTAATGGACATTAGATGAGTGGTTTTAGCTAATCGGAAATATTTGGCGCACCCCGCAAGAAAGAAAGAAAAAAAAAAAAGCAACTTAAATTCCTCCACTATTTTGGTGGGCGATCGAAATTCAACTGTTCATAGTCTTATAAACAATTAATCTTTGAATAAAAAATTCGAAATTCATCTGTTCAATCATAGTCTTATAAACAAATAATCTTTGAATAAAAAATATATAACTGATAGTTTCGAGAAAAAAATATGAAAATAAAAAATATATAGAAAAATGCTAATACTATTCTTTGTTGACTACCTTTTCACACGGGTTTATTGCCAGTTTATGTGTGAAAGAATTGATTACATTTTAATTTTTTCTGTTTTAGATAAGAACAAATAAGTTGATGCGCATGATTCATGGATAATGACCGCCCGTGAAGTTTTCTGTATTTTCTTGCCATAATTATACCAAGTTTGGCTTCATGTATTTTACACAGTAAGAGTCATCAGAGTTATCGGATGACTCGACTTATGGAGTCATTCACACTTATTCATCAATAGTTCATTGACGTGTGTCCTACAATATATACAATTTAAACAGGTGTCAACACATTAAGTGGTTGATGCATAAAAAAACAATTCGATTGCTTCATAGAATTTTGGTATTTTACAATGCATTATTTTGTTATGCAATGTGCTTATTATGTGATTATGTTTCATAATTAATAGGTGAAAGTTGAAAGTATATCCAATTATAATCATAAGCTTTTATTGAATAAAACCGAGCTGGGTGGTTGAGATGTTAACTTTGTAAGCTAATAAACGAACTCGAGTTCCGAGATTTTATCGACCCGAGCTTATAAACAAGCTCGATCCTCTTGTAAGCTTGAACCTCGACTCTATAACTAAAGTGATACTGATAGTGTTTGAGTTCGGCTCATTTATCCATATTAACGAGCGAAATCGAGTCTTAACTATCTGAATTCGAAGCCTTAACGAGCCAAATTAAGCGTATATTTAAAAATAAATTACGGAAGAATCTATATATTCGAACAAGCATTAAGGATCGAGTCAAGTCAAGTAAACAAGATCGATTTCAACTTTTTTGATCAAACTCGGGTTAACCCAAGTCGAGCTTTACTACAGAAGAAGAGTTTTGGTGTAATCCAACAATACTATCTAACTAGATTTAAACTGCAGGGACAATTAATGATTTCATTTTCATACTTAGGACAGTTAACAACTTTTTCTATGGATAAAGGGTACATTTGATTATATCATTTGTATAGCATTCATTTCTTCTTTCACTGTAATTCTCTAGTTAAAAAGGGCACACACTAACACCACAATTACTCGGTACAAACCTCACTTAGAGCCGACCCGAGATGAGCTCTTGAGAAATGAACCGGGTTTTGTAATCTCACGCAGGGGCTTATCCGTAAATCTGATGATGTTGTAAACCTAGTCCCCAGCTATGGTCCCGGCTGATGGGCCCAATAGGTAGATCCATATTCCTTTATAGTTGCTCGCTGCAATAGCTGGGCCCAAACTCCTTGCTGGGTTCATCGATGCTCCTGAAATGGGCCTATTGCATAATACCCACAAAATATTTATTATTACATTATATATATATATAAAAAAAAGGTGCATGCATATGCATCACGTTAATCAAAAGGGCGGACCCAATGGCTAAGCCAGCAAGTTCTCCAATCTGAGCCAAATAAAAAAAAATAAAACTAAATAATTAATTCAATTCAATCAACTCAATTTGGATTTTGATTTGATATGTATAGCAAAAGGGGGTTTCGGCTCGATTACAGCTCGGTTGTCTGTGGCGACGCCGGATATGACGAACATGAGAAGAAAAGTAATGAGGAATTCTAGCGCGAGCAACTGCATGTTGGCACCCGATGGGAGGGTCCCGGCAAATTGGTCCTGGGGCCCACTGAACAGTAATCGTAGGGTCCCGCTTGCTTGGGTTGCTCCCAAGATCTGAGCTCCGGCATACGCTGGTACCTGAAGTCAAATTAAATAAAGAAATAAATAAAATTAGTGTGCAATTAACAATATGATAAATTAATAATTACTAAATATTCAGTGTCTTAATTAATGTAAAAATACTTTTGACTGAGAAAATTATTGGGGCACATCACGAGTACGACTACATTATTCATTGTACACACCTAATTAATTAGCATATTATTTTCATTTATTTTTAAATATTATTTAGCTAAAATACATAGCGCAATTATACATGAACAATTAAGTAAAAGCAAAACCTAAGTTAATTAAATTAAAATCTAATTAAGAAAAAAAAGCACCTGTTTCCATGGGAATCTGCCACACGTGGCGAAGGCCATAGTGACTGAGGGGTTAAAGTGTGCGCCGGAAATATGTCCGACGGAATAAATCATGACCATTAAGACGAGGCCCCACACGACGGCCACGCCGGCGTGAGTAATTGCCTTCTCTTTGTCGGCGTCCACCACGCCGGCAGCGGCGAATATCAAGAAGAATGTCCCAATAGCAGCAGCTATTAACTGCATGATTATTTATTATTATTATAATTTAATTAAAATAAATAAATAAATTAAGAATTCAAGTGCCTTAGCAAATTAAAAAAACTAATCGAACCGTTTCGAATTACACGGTTCCGTGCACTGTCTGATTTATAGATTGGGATACATTAAATTAATTACCTTTTGTATGAATGGTAGAGTGAGGAAGCAACAAGAATCACCACCATTGTTATTCATATTATCATCTTGTATTCTCACAACATGATTGCCATTTTCTCCTGAAAATTTCAGCCATAATAATTCTTGATAAATTTGGAAAAGGAGAAGATGATTGAATATTGCTAAGTGAGTAGGAATAAGTGTGATGTGAGTTATGTTAGATTCTTGCACAAATGCTCTATTTATACACTCCACAATGGTTTAAGATATTCATCAATGGATTTTGACTTTAAGTACTAGTCTATAGACTATATTTATGTATTTGTTTTATTTTTATTTCATATGAAATATACAGAGAAAATGAGATGGCATAAATCATACTTACATATTTTTTATTTTTTTTTTTAATTATTGTACTTGTAAACGAGATTTTGTTAAATATTTTTCTAAATGTGAGTTGAAAGTTTATTGTTTAAATTATTGTACTAGTATGAATACCAAACCCACATGGTCACCAGTCAATTCCCACTATTGCTGATTCTATTCAAATTTATTTTCAAACTAGTACAGAGCCCGTGCGATGTACGAGGTGCACAATTTTAAGGTTATTTATCCAGCCTTATAACTATATAAAAGAATAAAAAAAATGTACGTGATATATATAGTACGGGACGTGCGAGACACGAGATATATTTATTTGGGGAATATTATATTATAAGATGCAATATTCAATAAAAGTTAATTATACAATAAAATATATTCGACAGAAACAATCATATATTATTAAAGACCTCCTTGTACATAGATATTAAATAATTTATTAGTAAAAATAGTGTATAAATTGATTACAATAACAAAACAATATGCTCACGGGATTAGTAAAACTACTCCATGGATTGAAGATTTAATGAGATTAAACATTTAAATTAATTAATTTAGATAATTCAAAAGTCTTCCAACATTGTTTTGACTTTAATATATTACAACATAATATACTTTAAATATATTAATATTTAAGGAACTTTAAACAACATAGTTTTTAAAAAATTATTTTAGGGAATTTTAAACAACATATTTACATCACCCATAAAACAGATTATATTTCAACAACATAGTTATCGAATTATTTAAGGAACTTGAAACAACATTGTTAAATATTTACGTCCACGCTTAACTTTTTTGTAAGTGGAAGGTAATTAATCCCGTGCATTTTTTTGTTTGTTTGTTCAATGTTTTTGACAAAACTGATGTCATGGATAAAATAATTACATATTAAATAAATTAATTAAATAATATTAAGTAATATACTTTAGACAGATATAGAATGCGGATAATCCTCTCAGCCAAACAACGCGATTTCAAAGTTGACTCAGATCCAACAATCATATTCAATATTTTATTAAAATAAATATTAAATAAAATGCTTTAAACATAAATTAGATAAGATATTTTGAATCTCCCTTTTTTTTAGTATAGATAGACTTTACGTACAATTTTTGACTTCACCGAATTTATAGGATTTTTGTTTTGACTAAATCAATCTTATTATGGAATAAGACAAATAAATAAAGCCTTTTTTTTTATTTTAGTAAGATCTTACGTACTTTTTTTTTACTTATCGGATATTACGAGGTTTTTTTTCTTAAACCGATTTTATGGGATATAAGACAAATAAATAAAATAATTAAATGAAATTCTGGATAAAAATAACAATGCATTAATTACGTTGACTTTGAACCTACTAAATTTGGTAAATAAGATACCTTATTATATAAGTATAGATTTAGATAAGGGAGTATGTGAAATTTCAATCCACTGAAAATCAATTCAATTGTGAATAAAGTTATATAGATAAGAAAATACAATCCCTCTATATATTAATCCAGAACGCGCTGAGTCTAGAACGCGCTGAGTCTACGTGGCTGCTTTTGGTGCTTCGAAATCCTTTGTGGGAAAATTACATGCTTCGTTATTAGGCCTGAGTAAATTTTAATTTAATTCCAAACAAAAAATAATTAGGTTAGGGTTACCATAAATATGTTGATTATTTATGGTCATGTTAAATGTATTAATTGCATTTTAATATCATTCCTTATTATAACTATTGAATTGTATATATATTTTAAAAGTTAATAACTTTTGTATTTTTTATCAGTTTTACATATGTAATATATCAAATTAATCTTCTTTTGATGAGTTTCGATTTAACATCCATAGTGTATGTATAAGAAAAAAATTATATTTATCTTTATAACAATAATAAAATTATTTTTAATATTAATTAAAAAAATAAAATTATTTATCCACTAATATATTTATATTTCAAATAGTTATATGATATAAGTTATAAAAACCAATATAATATAACACATGTAAGTCATAAGTATCACATATCATTCTAAAATATATAGTAATATATGTTTTTTTTGTAAAAAAGTAAATTAAATTTAATATAGTTTTCTCATTAATTTTAAATTTAAAATTTAAGAATATTTTTTTTAACAAGCACCCGTGTAATACACGGGTGTTACTAGTATATAGAAAACCAAAATTCGCAAGATTGAAACAGCTGACAAGAGCATATGAATATGACAAGAAAAATGCACATCCTATAATTTTTTTTAAGATTTTTAATTGCTTATAGAATCTAAATGTAGGGTAAGACGGTTTCATTTAAGAAATGGATTTTAAACCGCTGGTGTGATGCTTAGATATGATTGCCATTTTGTATTAATCAGTGTTTTAAATATCGTACTGGTAGTCATACCGGTCTAGCCACCGGTACGCAGTATTACCGGTCGGACCAGTAATATCGGTCGTATTACTAGATTAGCAAATATAATAATAAATATAAATATACATACAAATATTTAATACCAAATGCACTAAAGTAAAAAATAAATAACCATAATCATTAATTTCAACTTTTCAATGAGATAAAAATAAAATATTTTAACTGCCAATTTAAATTTTAAATTTTTTTTTAAATTATTTTTTTTATTTTTTTTAATTAACCGGTATTTTGGACCGGTATTTTGTAGTTTTTACGGTATAATCTCGGTACAAACCGGTATAACCGTAAATCCGATATTTTGAGTGTATTTGTACCGTACTAATGGCCGGTATCTGGTATTACCGGCCGGTACGGTACGTATTTCAAACATGGATTTTAATCATTTATTTTGAAGAAGATACCTTATCTATACTTATATTATAAGCAAACCTATTTACTAAATTAAGTAAGATGAATAGTCAACATTAATTAATGACTTTCTAATCTTATCAAGTGCATTAATTACGTGTAGTTTGGTAAAAAAAAAATCTGATAAAATCAAGAAATAAAACGTGTATAGTAAGATTTGATCAAAAATTTTTTCTTATCTTTTTTCCAATTTGGACGTGTATTTTTTTTTATTTCAGATTTTTTTGTTTCTAAAATTCCATACTATTAAGGAAATAAATCACACATTTGATCACAAATCTTTTCTTATCTTTTTTCCAATTTGGACGTGTATTTTTTTTATCTCAGATTTTTTTGTTTCCAAAATTCCATATTATTAAAGAAATAAATCACGCTCTCTCTTTCACAAATAAAAACAAATTTACAATTAATATAACTAACACATCTCATAGTATTATGCAAGGAATAATTTATAATTATATTTATTTATAAAAGATGATAAGAATAGTTCAACATACTTATCTCATTGGCAAATGAAAAGATACTCCATGTTTTAAAATGTTATACTCCTCAAATAAATAGTTTTCGTGCCTCGCACAGGTCACGTACTATATATCCCGTAGATATATGACCTTAAAATTGTACACCCCGTGCATCGCACGAGATTTGTACTAGTTTGAACTTATTATTAATCATTTTAGTTTTTATGTTCGCATTTATTTCTATGTTACACAGTAATTTTAAATTTTAAAACTCATTTCTTTCTCTAATATATGAAAGTAATAAAAATAATATTGCAATATCGTCTTTTTTCCATCTGATGTGTAAGGTTTTCAATAATTAACATGGATTTTGGCAGCATTATACATACAATAGATAGATTTATGTATATATATTTTAATTTTGTTTGGTGGAATGATTTTATTTTATATTTCCTAATTTAATAGGAGTGTGTCATCATACACCAAACACGAATCTTGTTGCCTGATAGTATAGCACATGCCACGGCTAGCTATTTTCAGCTTATTAATAATGGTCAAAGTGTTGATATGTGTTTTCATATACTAAATTCATTTTATGCTTGATAATATTGAGGTTCAGAATTAGTTTATGGGCTTGGTGATGACATTCAAATCTAGTTATTTTGGCCCAAGTGTTTCTGGATTAGATTGGTTGCCAGGAAGTCAAGAGAAGTAGCTAAGGAAAAGCCCTATTAGGAAAAGTATTTTGGCCCAAGTATTTTCAGCCCGTCACCAAAAGCCATTTAGGAAATACGTTCCAAAAAGAAGTAGCTAAGGAAAAGCCCTATTTCTATTGGGGTCAAACATCCAGGATCAAGGCTTTTCCCACGTTTACCAACCCAACTTGTAATCTCCACGCCCCCTGCCCAGCAACTCATAGACTATAATAGGGCATCTTCGTCGAGGAATCTCCTACAATGGGGTTTCTCGTTCCAGTATTGAAGCTCAAAAAATTGAGTAAGAATTTTGTTAGAGCAATATCTGTCAGCGCCTTGTCTCCATCTGGCATTTCCGAGGAGGAGGACATGGTATGCTTGGATTTCGTATTTTCTATTTTGTGTATAGGGTTAAATTGATTCCTTTTATGGCTGTTGTTTATTGATTAGTTTCTAGTAGGGTTGGTATTTTTTGACTGAAAACCGAAAACCGGACCATTAGGTGCCTCT